GAACTCTGTTCTTACTTACTTGAAAAGCTGAATACCTTCCAGCTTTTCTTGGTCTATTGTATGAAGGAAGATAACGTCTAATTGGATCAAGTTCATTAATATGTAATAAACCAGCAGTAAGTAGTTGAGCAATTATCAACATAGCTTGATTCCATAGATACATAGGGCCAGGTTCTGTATCTGTAGAACTTTTTTGCCCTCTTCCTTCATTACTTGGTATTCGATAAGTACTACCAGGATCGTTTCTTTCTGCTTCAAAGCTTTCCTCAGGAACATAGTAATACATAGGTACAACGGGATCTACTCAATTAAATAAAATATAATAATATACTATATTATTACAATAAAATTCATTTTATGTCAACATACCCCCATTAATATCTTTGTACATTCGTTCTTTTAATAAATTCTGGTATTCTTCCACTTGTTCTGGCAGGGTTTTAAAAACACCATCAATGATCATAAAAATATAAAATAATGGCCATTCGCATTCTATATTATCAAACTCCTATAATAGAAAAATATTTTTGTAAATCTATTTATACAATTCCTAAAAAAAATTGACATAATTATATATAATGACTTTACAAACGTAATAAATTTATCTAAACACATTTTAAAAATAATATATACTAACAAGCAAATACATCAGAGACCTTGATTTCACCGGATTTGTAATAGCGTCGATCTTTGCTTTCTAAAACTGTCTTATATCCATCTCTACCAAATCTCTTAAACCCATAATTGCCTCTTAATCTTCGAACTATATTTGCTTTTGTTTCATTGTACAAGACTTCTTCATGGGTGGCAAATGCAGGAAAAGATATTGTTGGCAATAAAGCTGTATCTACACTCTAAACGAAGATTACACATAAAAATTTAAACATTAATACGTTAATATTCAATACATAAAAAACTACTTTGTGCAATTGCTTTTTACCTTAGAACTAGATTCTCTTGGAAGCATTGTTTCAAAAATGCTACGATTTCGATTGTGTGCATCAATGTCAACATATATGACTGACCAAGATGCTCCCTTTTCTCCAAACAGGTTGCATCCATTAATAGCTTCAAGAGCACTTTTAGCTATGCCGATTGAACTTGCATGTATTTCAGGTGTACCATCATTATACCTGCTACCACGTTCCCACATGCCATAATCTGGTGTACGATATGCTCTTTCTACATAATATACAAGATTTTGTATAAATGCTACTTCATCTTGAGTATATATAATTTGTAATCCAGAGGAAATCATTTGTACCAAAAATATCAAATAGAGAGAAACAATATCTATCTACAAAAAATTAAAATTAGCATAATAATTTGTTTAAATACATGAGACAGTTTACATAAAATGTTACAAGTTTTCTTTAAAACCAATTACATATAGATATATTATAAATGTGACTTAATTCTTCAATGTTCTAAAAGTTATAAAAATACTTTTTCTGATACTTTAAGTAGAAATATTATTAAATTTTACATTTTATCTATTC